GTACGCGACTCTGTGACGGGCGAGACCGTTCGGGTCTTCCCAGCGCACAAGCAATTCCTTCGCCAGCTGTTGCTGCTGCCATTTGCCTCAATTGCCAGTCTCGCATTGGGGTCGTTGATCGTGGCGGCATTCGCCATGGAAATCTTGATCTCGGAAGTTTATACAGGCCCATTCAAGGAATACCTCGAGTTCCTTCCGACCATTCTTTTCTCCCTGTCACTTCCGTGGATCAACGATACCTTAACGGATATGGCCACCAAACTAACCGATTACGAAAATTATCGCACCCAGGACCAGTATGATATTGCACAGACCACAAAAACCTTCGTCATGAACTTCATCACCTCCTTCCTTCCCACGATCCTCACGGCATTTGTGTATGTCCCATTTGGCGCCCGACTGCTACCATATCTCGACGTGATCCGCGTTGGAAAGCTGGCCACGGCGTTCGATACCCGCCGAGTCAATATCGATCCCTCGCGGTTGCAGCAAGAGGTCATTTATCTCTCGGTGATGGGACAGGTCATGAGCTTCGGTGAGGAGATTGTGCTGCCCTATGTGAAACGAGTGGTTATGCAGAAGTGGCGCGACTATCGACAAAAGAATGTGCCGGCCGGACAAGGCCGTCGTTATTCTTACCGAACCGACCAGCTGTTGAACGATGCCCCGGGTGAGGCATCCTTCCTGTCCAGAGTCCGGAATGAGACTGAAGCCGACGAGTACAACGTCCATGACGACACACTAGAGATGTGCGTGCAGTATGGGTATCTAGCACTCTTCGGCGCGTCATGGCCGCTGGTACCACTCGGCTTTCTGCTCAATAACTGGCTGGAGCTGCGAGGAGACTTCTTCAAGTTGAGTCTCGAATGCCAGCGACCGCCTCCCATCCGAGCCGATTCCATTGGGCCGTCGCTCCAAGGATTAGAAGTTCTCACTTGGCTCGGAACTTTGTCCACCGCAGCCATCGTTTACCTGTACCGTGGCGGCATGACCGACGTGCGTCTATCCACACTCCTCTTGATCCTTCTTGCGGCGGAATGGGCATACCTGGGGCTCCGCTTCGTTGTGCGGACGGCGGTGGAGAAGATCGCCACCGGCTCGCTTCGAAAGGAGGCCGCCAAACGATATGCCCTTCGGAAGAACTATCTGGACTCACTTACCCGAAGTACATCTCCTAAAGGTCGACAACGCGTGCGCTTCGAAGACCGTGTCAATGTTTATACCACGGGAGCGGATGTCAGAACCAATTCTCAAGAGTTCCTGCACCCCGGTCATCATGAGACATCGAGTGAGGAAAAGTTCTGGTCTGATCCTGCCCAAGATACTGCGGACGCCGGCGTTCGGTTGATTAAAGCCTTGTGCATGGGAGATCGAGTGCAGCCAGAGAAGAAGTCCGAGAAAATGAAAAAGGGTGCATAGAGTGCACCTTTTACAGGCCATGTTCGATGATAGATTCCAATTTTTTTCCCCCTTGCGTTTTCCACATTATACGGTTGACCTGTAACCATCGCTGGTGTCGATAACTTCCCTGCTGCGCGGGATCTGTGTTGATGTCTGTACTCGAGGCAACACGCCTCAGTTACCGTGGATTTGACATCCAATTCATTGATGACGATAGCGCTATCAGTTCCAGGGATGCGCAAATAGCTAAGCTCTTGTACATTCATACATACCTTCTATCCGTTTTCGTTTCCTTGAGTCACGTGCTTCCGGCGTTTTCTGCGCGAATCGCATTAGTCGATATCTACTATATAATACACATCGGATCTATTGAACACGTTTCTTTACGTATTAGTAACTGTAATGAGCGTTATCGGCATAAGGCAAAATGGGGGGAACCACCCATTCATTCAATAATTCATGCTCGTGAAATTTTGGGACCGAGTCTATTGGCCCCACAGGTTAATCAATTTGCTTACTATCCACAATTCCCTTGCGAGTTTGTCATGCTTAATCTTAAAATAAAAAGTGGCAATTAACTGTGGGAAGATAGTAGGAAAGGAAAGCGATTGCTTGAGAGGGAAACAAAAATATGTGACGAAATATATTTTGTCACATCCGCAAGCGGTCAAGGCCCTACAAGTACTGTCCATTCATCCTGATAGGATTCTGTCCGACAGACAACATGTACTAGTACCCATGTAACACGGCAGCCTGCATGGGTCACATGGCTTTTATTTTACCTCTAGCGAATCCACGTGCATTGGTTTCGGAAAAGGAGCGTGTGAGGACTTCCCACCCCCGACTGGGGAAGATGAAATTCCCACATCCACATCATTCCACGGACCACACCGAAGGTTCTACCACTCACACTAGATCCAACCACGCATTGCTACGTATCCTCAGTACGAAACTACGACTCTGACAGGCAGGGTGGACCCCTCGGAAATGCGGAACGTTATGAGTTCCCCTCATTTCTTGAAATAGGTCGTCTCCGAAATGGGTCAACTCCACGGTAGGGCTGAGACATGGGATTGGTGAGGGATCTGAAAAGTCAAGCGGGGCACAGATTGTTCGGCAACCGAAGATTACGCAGCTTCTGATAGGTACATCAGTAGGCTGTTCTCGTTCGCATGTTGCCTGCGGTATAGAGTTGATACGTGGATTGGGTATGGATGGGTATGGATGCAGATGCTTGTTCATGCAGTCGAGGGATGCGTTGGGAAAGGTGATAAGCGGCAAAGGCATGCCACCAGCTATCAAGATCGAAGGAAGGATGACTGAGAGGAATTGTCGAATCCTTCTAGCTCTTCAGGACCTTACTAGGAGTAGTTATAAGACGGAATTAGTGGCAGTCCACTTTCAGCCCTACAAGGCAAAGCCAAGGTCAGGGAAAAGTCAATCAGTTATCCAAGGTGACCAATCGCAGATCTCGGCTGGTTCCCCAGTTCATTCCACCTCTTCTGAAGTTCCGTGACCGACATTCCAGTCTTTTAGTCGCCCTGTTCCCCTTCCACTTTCATTAATTTCTTTGCTTTTCTCTTTCTTTTCTTTTTCTAATTTTATTTTATTTTTTTTTTATCTTTGCCCGTTCCGTTAAAACAAGGTGCTACCCGCCCTTCTTTCGTTCCCCCTTCCCCTCACTCCCTTTCTCGCATTCTCACACAACCTCCTCTTCCCCCCTACTTTATTTTCTTCCCCCTTCCTCTTTGAAATTGCTCTTCTGGAGGAGCGAGTCTCCTCCGGTTGCCCAATGTGTCCCCTCTCCGAATCAAAAACCGAGCTCTTTCTCCAGGAAGAGAATGAAACGGGAAAGATCGTCCCTATGGTGACTGTCGTCCGTCGGCGCGGACGATTGCATTTGGTCCACCCTCACTGGTACCGGAATAGTTTATTGGCGAGCACAGGATTTCTCGAATTCGCTAATGCCGGTGATTTCGCTGCTAATGTGTGGAATGAGATCCCCGTACCCCGACATGCAATGATCCTGATGGCCATTGGAGGACCACTCGCTTTGTTGATGAGTATTGTCGCCCTCCGCGACTTGATTCTAAGTTGGCGGAATGTCAAACTGCTCCGCGCCGAACGTCAATACTTACAATCGTTGAAACGTGACTATCTTGCCTCCCCCAACCCGGACTCGGATCTGATCCGACTGATCGACAGCCGTCTTGGCCTTAGCTGGCGCGAATTGGGCACAGAGCTCATTGACCGTGTCGCTATGGACGTTTTCCTCGGTCTTGGGGCTCTGCTCGTCGGTATCGGTACGATCATGGCCATTTGGGGAGCCCATCCGAAAGTCTTCAACGCCAGTAACCTCCTGTCGGGGTTCGTGGGGAACTCCTTCGCCGCAGAGTTCGGCGTCGTCAACGCGGTCTGGTCCGTCTACCTTGCCCGACGATTCCACCGCTACAATAGACTCTGTGCACGCACCCCGGCCCTCTCATCGTTCCGCGACCGTCTCCACCTCCGGTTCAACAAATTCAAATGGCACGCCGTCGTTTCCGGACTCACCGGTCTCATCGCCGGTGCCGCCTCCATGGTCACAGCCAAGATGTGGTGGGGATACGTGGTGCTAGCGCCCTGCATGGTTTTGCAGTTGTTATGCAACCGGTTCTGGCGAACCCAGCTGGGCTACGACCGCCCGATCGTCCGCGACTACGATCAACGGGGCATCCTCATCCGCGAGACGCAAGAAATCCGCGACGAAGAAAAAGACGGACCGCTACTGGATAGTCTGGCCTCTACGGTAACCCTGTATAACGCACTGGGTGCCCTCCCCTCGCCGAGCGAGGCCCTCGACTGGACGAGTCTGGACTCGCTTGTGCAATTCATGATCACGAATGACCTCTTCGATTCCCTCTGCGACTGGCTCGCACGCGATAAATCCGTTCCTTCCGACGTCCGCGACGCCGTGTTCCGTGACCCCTCTTCCTCTTCGGAACACACCGAGATCACGGTCTCTCCTGACCACCTCCTCCGCATCCCAGCCCAATTGCAAACGCAACTGCGCGATCTTTGTCGTCAGTTTCTCCAAGGGGATGGACGGAGGGTGCTGCTCTATCGGGAACGGTATCTGTTAGAGATGATGGGGTCGATGCTCTCCAGGGAGAGTCAGTAATGTAGCACGTCCTGTATACTATTATGTTCATCGCATTTGTTGGATGGGGACATCGATTGGGACACTCTGTGCCGGCACATGAGGCAGTAGATCTGCAAGCATAGATATTAATGTGGTTACCTTAATGAATAGAGATGCTCCTCTATGGGACAATTTTATTGAATTTCACTGCTTCATGAGTAAGGTGTAGTAAATCATGCTCATGGAGAACTCTGTATGTTGCTATTCTCTTTGTACCCATAGGGTACAAAACGGGATGCCTCAGGCCTCCATCCATCGGACGACTCTCAAAGTACGCACGGATAAGTAGTAAGTCCGGTGCCGGACTCCGCCCCACTCTTTGTCAACCCAAAGCAATCAATTAACATCAAAGAGCCTGCGCAAACAGTCTAGCTACTACTGCTACTACTAGTACTAGTACTCCGTACTCATCACCGATATGGGTTGTAGAGGACTGTGGAATTTACACATCCATGGTCAGTAAGACCAGATATCTCTCAGATTCACTAACGCCCACCCATTCCAGGAAAATGGTACCGCTCCTATCATCCTCGGGCACTGATAAGCCATCCGGATGATAAACGGATATGGCGAACAGTTAAAGAAGTACTTGATAAGCCCTTTGATCTGAAGGGGTGGGTGCTATCTCCCTGCCCCAGTCCGATTCATTCAAATTTAGATTATGTCTACACTATCGACCACGTTGCAGGTGTTTTCATAATCTCGCTATGGGGAGAGCCCGACGGTATCTTGGTACCTACAGCGATACGAATCGACCTAGCTAGATTCCATGAAGATGATTTCAGCCTCTCCATCAACCATCCCCTCCCACGGCCTGAGTACTTGGTCGGAGATGGTACTAGCGTGGTCCATGGGTCCCACTATGAACCACTAGATTCTGAGATGCTTACTTTCGACTTTGGCATCCCTACTCCTATGAACGAGTTACAGGAGCTATTGTTTACCGACTTTGTCTTTCTTTGGCGCTTCTATATTGATGACCCCTTGACATGGAGATGTAGTTCCCCGGTCTTCAAATTGCTATGTATAGCCCTTCTACGTCTTGCTGCTTGGGATCTTGAAGTATCCCCAAATTCCGACCTTGGGCACGTGGAACTTCCAATCTCCTTCTCGTCTGTTCCCTCTTGGAGGTACCCCAAGGCAGACATTTACTGGTTCCATGGTTACCTTATAGTATTGCATGAAGACATCGGATCTAAGGCTATGATAAGTGGAGCTATTATGAAAGCCAAATCATACATTGACAATCTCGAGTATGAATGCAATGACGTCCACTTGATCCTTATCTCACCATTTCAGGTGGCTTTCGTGGAGTTGCTCCAAGGCACTATCATGACTTCCAAAAGCCTAGCCTTATTGACAAATGCGTCGGCAAACCAATGCTCGCCCGGCTTTCGTGCGCTTGTCCGGGTTCTAACATCAGACCGCCGGATAAAGTATCACGCCTATAGAGAGACGTGGGAGTATAATATACCACCAGAAATGCTTCAAAGACTGCTCTATGCATTGGAACCGCGAGATGCTGTAGCATTTTCACAGGCTTCCTTTGTGGCCGAGGAATGCTACTATGCCTCGATTCCCCAGATCAAAGATATCGTCGTGCAAACCTTCAAGTCTTCTATACCGTGCTGTGGTAAGCGTGGTGACTTGGAAGAGCAGGGTATCTGTTGTTCTAAATGCCATTCCTGGCAACACCTGGGGTGTGTCGGTCTGGGAAACCAACCATTGGACAGTAATTACGTTTGCTTTGATTGTTACAAAAATAGGACCTGTACGACACTTAAACCCGGTCGGATAAACAGAACCAGTTGTCGACGACGAAGAGAAGGGCACCCGGTCAAAGTGGGATGTGCTGAACAGTTGCTTCAATTGCGACTTCTCAAACCCTCCCATTTACGACCAGAGCTACGACTTGTGAGGAATCTCCGGCCCATTCCACCTTGTCTCATTGATCACACGATTCTTTTCAACGGCGCGTTTTCTGGCTTGGCTTATGGCCTGGAAAATACAACCTAGTACGCGATGAATTTGGTAGTATTGATTGCATTGAAGAGATAGGTTACGTTGACTATCTGGGTGAATTGCAAAAAGATCACAAAACTATCGACCAAGAAACGTATGAACCCCTGCAATCGTATCAACGAGCGGCTGGGGTGTCATTCTGTGCCATGTGCCTTAGCATCCAATCAATGGTAATACAGTCATCGCGTTCATGGAATGAGTTCCGCTGTTGTTGGGTTGGGGGTCCCCAAGGGATAACGCGATTGTCCCTGTGCATACACCGGCATTGGCCAATCGTTAATGAAATGCAAAGAATTTGTGGTAAGAGCTAAAACAAACGCCGAATACATGTTCGGCAACATAGGGGCAAACTAGGAGACAAGCTGACCATAATTTGTCGATACCAGTTGTGTTCTGTTGTTCTACAGGCTCGCTCTCGGTCTCATTTAGATGCTGTGTAAGTGATCCTATCCTAATCATGATCCTTCTCCAAGTTCCCACAAAATTATTTTCCTTTGTTGGTGTTATTCATTTTGGCAGTGGATCCCAAATATATCCAGATCTGTTCTGTTCTATAGTAGCCAGCCTAGCCAACCCTACGAAAAGCAACCAAGCTAGAAACTAAACAAGCCACTCCTCCTCTTCCCCAACGGATAAACCACCAAAGCAGCCACAAACAATCCCACCGTAATCCCAATCGCAACCTGCACCATCCCGAACCCCAAATCCTGCACGGACTTCTGCTGTCCCACTCCAGCAGAGCTTGTATCCCCATGACTACCATTGCGGCTGATATTCGACCGAATAGCATCTGCCGACTCAACCCCCGCAATCAACGACCCAGACGCCGCAAGCCCAGACGGAACGAGGACAAATATCCCCGGTAAGATAGCGGTGGCTGCATGGCCGTGCCAAAGCCGACTGTATAGGTTCCCCATAACACCTATAGCAAATGCGCCGACAGTGTTGGCAACCTGCGTATTTGTCCCGAGACGTTTGGTGACGAAGTAATTTGTTACATAGCCGGTGAAGGAGATGATGACCATCACCGGGCCCTGTTTCCATTTCCCCTGGTTGATGATCAGGAGACAGATGGAGAAGGCGATGACGAAGGGAAATCGGGCGACGTAGGGGTTTCTGAAGCCCAGGATGTTCGGGCAGGTTGTGTTAGATGTTGCGGTGCGGTCGATCAGGCCGTAAATGGTGGTTCCGACTGTGACGCCGTAGCCTAGGAAGAGGGAGTAGATGATTGCATAGACCATGCGGATGGAGCCGGGGACTATCTTGTGAGATTGCAGTTCTAGACTGCTGCAGAGGACTGTGTAGCCGGGGAGGATGAGGGCGATGGAGGATTGGGCGATGGCGGAGAAGCAGAAGAGGTATTGGTGTGGTTTGCCGTGGATGGTGGTTGCTATGCTGCCGATAGCGCGCGCAATGAATGAGGTTAGCACGGCGGCTGTTACTTCGAAGACGTTGGAGTAGAGCACTGAGCGTGGGGCGATGACATGTTGCATGATGCCGAGCAGACAACCGTTGAAGAAGATGATGGGCATGTCGATAGGTCTGGCGCCGAAGGCGAATGGACCGACCATGGCGGTGGCTAGACCGCAGACGAGCACGATGATTAGTTTATTGTACCGGGGTTTTCGTTTCATGATGTCTTCTAATTCTTGGGTGGCTTCTTCGATTCCGATAACGTCGTGGATGACGTTTTTGTAGATGTCGTGAGTCTCGGAAAGGCGCCCTAGGTCGACGCCTTGCGAAACGCGGACGAGTTTGACTTCCGCGGTTCGTGTTGCGGGATCGTCGAAGGACATTATCATGCAGCCGGGCACGTAGAGGTATTGGCTATCGACTTGGAGGACCTTCGCGGTCATCTGCATATACTCCTCTAATCGATGCGTGGGGGCACCAAAGACCATGAGTGCCTTGCACAGCTGCATGATATACCTCTCGCGCGCAATAATCTGTGCAATGTGCAGGGTAATTTGTATCTCATCCTCGAGCCTCATATTCCCGGGCGAATGTTTGCTGCGCCGTTTCGAGGCAGCCGTGAGCACTTCACTCGAAACCGGCGTGCTCGCTCCACTGACATTCGTCGAGGCGGTAGCCAGAGCATTAGGCGACATATTCGGCGGCTTTTTATACCATTTCATCTTCCGTGGCGTAGCTGCCCCAGATGCGCTCCCACTGAGAGGCGTCCCCATCTCTCGGGGAGATTGACTACTCGTTGACGGTGCGCCTATATGCGTATGATCCAGGGCTCCATTAAGTTTCAGAAGCTGGGATAACACACCCCCAGTACTGCCACGGCCTCTTATCACCGCCCCATTCCACGCATCGGCAGGACTACCCCAGTAATCCGGAGTCTTGTGCGGATAGTGTTTATTATGTCTGGGACGATGATACGCCATTTGATCCTGGGACATTTCCCGAACAAGACGATGGGCCGCAGAACTGGATCTGTCATGGTCATACCCCTTCTCTGAAAGCGTGAGCTCGCTACCTGCCGCCGAATCAGGACGATACTGCATTACACGCACATCCTTTTCATCAGATGGTGGGCGCCCAAGCTGAGTCGCGAACTCTCTCACTTTCTTTGTCGCCACATGTCTGAGCTCATTAAGCCGGCTTAGAAGCGAGCCATTGGTAGTACCGGGGTCAGAAGGATGAGCGAGTGACTCTTTTTCAAAATCCACACTATCTGTCCCGCGAGGCTGGCCGAGATAAATGGATCGTTTCCTCGGCCGTGCCTCGGTGATATCTACAGACCCGTGCGCCGGGCGATGATGAGTTTGACGCGGTGATGCGTCGGGTGAGTCCTCTGATTCCGTGTCGACATCGCCATACTCGTATCTCAGGTCTGTCCCGAAATGGACCCGATGGCGAGATGGCGACACGCTGGTCGGGCTGACGTCCTGTGTATTGGTCTCTTGTGTCTCGACATGCTGCTCAGGTGTTCCTTGCCCAGGTGTGTCTGGACTTTGATCCTCGACGCTCCGGTAGCTGATTAATGAACTCTGGCTCGCTTCACTGTCGCGGCGGTCTTCGGGCATTGGGGTGGGCTGTTTGGAGGTGGTATGAAGAACCTGTGACCGAAGACGAGGAATGTAAAGGCTTTAGCTCTGCACGATGAATAAATGGGCTTTGTATGGCGTCCCGAGTGTATATGAAAGCATCCAGGTTCGCATAGGGTGATGTTGTTTATATCCAGATACGAGTGAGGCATAAAAATCAGCAAAACCACATGGCGAGGAAGATAATGGGATGTCGAATAAACTTTACAATGACCCAGGGTCACAACAGCATTAGTCACTCTAGGAGCAATAGAATCAATAATATGGAAACAATGGGAAAACAGAAAACTTCTACTGGACGCACGTCCAAGAATAGAAAAGGAGTAGTCCAGGTTGCAGCGTGGAAAACCAGAACAGGTCCTACCATGGGTAGATCAACGTCATATAGGGATCAGCGCGCGATAACACCACCAGAAAGTACCACTAGCAGCCTTATCGGAGTGGACAGCTGGTGTGGAACTCCCTGGACGTTGCATTGGGAGAAGAGTCTATGACGCAAACAGACAGTATGTGGGTCCTTGAGCAACTTCGGAGTTTTCAAAGATATATACGACCTGTAGACGTTATCACACCCACTTGAGCGTTACTAAGTGATTGCTCTAAAGATCATCTCAGCACCTTTTTACTTGGAATTTATTGCTCATTTTGTAGTATGCAACTATGCTGTAGAGTCGAGCACTCAGTTGGAGGTGACAATATTCTGGGCCATGTGAAAGCTTTAAATGTGGATCGTCGAAGGTCTAGACATTAGTTTTAACTTAGAAATTCGATAGATCCGATCTAGAACATTGGTGTAGTCCTGTTAATGCTTGTTTTAAGCATTTATCGGCCCTTGCTCAATCGCGGAACTCTCTGTACCCGAGAAGATCCCGGCGACAAATCGGAATCGGAACTTAGTTAAAATTCATAGTTCACAAGCCTCGGGATCTCTTAGAGGAAGCCGAGAAAGCTTAAAGCAGGTCGATTGTGGCCTGGAATATGAGCCAATTGCGTACGCTTGACAGATGTCACTATGTTTTGCTCTATGTATAGGCTTTGGATACTTTTAAGGTTAGGGTAGCCCTTTACCCGACTGTACAATGGCTACCGGTGGTTCTCTCTCAGGTCGAGAAGGCAATCTTCCTTTGGAGAGTTGTATAAGTAATGTAATATTTTCCGAGTCACGTTGAATATATAGAAGCACATCATACGGGTACCAGGCTAGAAGCATCGGGAAATTCTCCAATGAACCAAAACTTCGAATGTATGTAGATGTTTAGGAAATGTGAGTCTACATGGTTCCTCATGATTCCCTTTGACTAGATGGGGTAAATAACGACACACATCTAAGTAAAGAAAACCCATGTCTAGGTGAAGCCGGAGCCAAGGTTCCTACTCTACCGGCCTCACTGAAGATTACTGGGGAGAGAGTACGAGAGGGAGACGAAAACGAGGCAAACGAAGAAATAAATATCATAGTGCTAATTTCTCAGCTAAACGCTCCATACTCTATTAATATCAATCCCCTGTGGGTCTCCGAAAATTTAAAGTACCGCGTAGCTTTCCCGAACGCGAGAACGAAAACGAATCCGACGAGGAAATAGCTTTCAGAAACTGAATATCCTCTACGGGTGCAATTTCAACAACGTATCTGGGAGAATATAATCTGAAACAGCTCCACATAGTTCATACACAGCCCTTTTACTGAACGTCAGTTGTTGCCAAGGAAGGCTATTAGAAGTATGGAGGCCTTCAGCTTTCAGGCCTATGATTACTGGCTATACCACAGTCTTTTCCACCATGATTTCTCTTCTGCCTAGTTTTTTCCATTCCTTAAATATCTAGAGTGTCTCTTAGATATTCAATTTTACCGCGCCATTGTCAATTGTGCCGACCTTGTTCTTCCACGACCATCTCACACACTCTTTTTGCATTGAAGGATACCCAGCAGCAGCAGATAAATATGAATACACGCCGTGCAGACAGTGACCCAACGGGGGATGCAGTATCATTCTCCTTCTATCACTATGATCCGAGCATGGCCGGTGCCGTAATCTTTATCATTCTTTTCGCGGGAACGACGCTCTTTCATATTTACCAGATGGTCAGAACCCGAACTTGGTTCTTCATCCCTTTTGTGATTGGAGGCATATGTTAGTGACACTTGTCTCGGAGGGAATAGAGCACTTCCATGAATCGGTAATGCTAACTTAAGTAGTTGAGGTACTCGGCTACATAGGGCGCGCCCTGTCCAGTCGGGAATCTCCAAACTGGACCCTGGGACCATATCTCATCCAAACTTTGTTCCTTCTTCTCGCTCCAGCCCTGCTCGCCGCTTCTATATACATGTACCTCGGACGAATAATACTGGTTCTGCGAGCCGAGTCCCACGCAATCATGAGAAAGAAATGGTTGACCAAAGTCTTCGTGACGGGGGATGTCCTGTCTTTCCTCCTGCAAGGTTCTGGTTAGTATTGAGTCGACCCAAAACCATTCAATAACTGAAAGGACACAGCTAATTATTACTTCAACTATAGGCGGCGGTATCCAAAGCGGCGGCAGTCTTGACAGCATGAAGCTAGGAGAGAAGATTATCGTCATCGGCCTTTTCGTCCAAATATTCTTCTTCGGCTTTTTCATCGTCACGGCAGGCTCATTCGACTTAAAATTAAAGAAATATCCTATTCCGCGATGCCACTCCGCTGAGATCCCCTGGAGGAAACATATGAATGTGTTATACGCATCGAGCATGCTGATCATGATCCGGTCTGTGTTCCGCTTGATTGAGTATCTACAGGGGAATAACGGGTATCTGCTGCATCATGAAATTTTCCTATATATCTTTGATGCGGTGCTGATATTTATCACGATGGTCATCTTCAATATCTGTCACCCGAGTGAGATTGGTCGGCTTTTGGCTAATGAGGCGGAGTATGAACTCAAAGATACGTTCAGTACTGTACCGTGATGGTGTTCTTGTATAGATTGCAGACGAAACAGCGTTCATTAATACAAATATGTTCAGTATGTGAAGACTCGATATAAAGTTCTTGCAGTACTAGTGTAAGGTCATAGGATCTACAACAATTAGAAGAGAGGCTTCGATATTCTGAGAAGGATAACGAGAGTAAATATTGCAGATATATAATTAAGATGGACATGATGATGAGTTAGATGAATTGCTATGATTCAGGCTGCACTTATTCCATCAGCGAAGTACATAGCAATCAAATCTTCTTTTGTACTCAACCACGTTTCTCTTATCCTTTAACGTAAACGCATCAAGGCTTGACTCTCGTGTGTTTGTATCCATTTTCCTCCAGAGTACGGGCTGATTCTAGATTTATTTGTCTATAGGAAAGGTTATTACAGCTTGAATTCAACAATTGGCCGGCTGGCCCAATGGCAAGGCGCTTGACTACGAATCAAGAGATTGCAGGTTCGATCCCTGCGTCGGTCAGAATTTTTGGTGTTTTTGCCACCAGAGATCCATATCTTTCCGAATATGAAAAGTGGTGGATCTTCAGGACAAGCTTTTTTACCGACGCTGCCGGGCTATCATCTGATTGGCCAGCGATGCCAAGTATATCAACCACCTTCACTGTAATCACGAAGGATATTCATGACTGCGTACGATTCTGTGGCAGTGATCATGTAAAAGATAATCTCATATTCACGGATCTGTCATATAATTTCTTCTTATAGCATTCGTCATATCTCGTTCGAGTATGAGCGCGGTCGGTTCCTGGATGGTTTCCCCTTCAAGCCGCACTTTGCGCCCGTCAAGCATCGAGTGTTGGATCGGATTCAGCGTCTCGGTGCGGGGATCCTGGGAGGGGTGCACGTTGGCCTCCATCTGTGCTACGGTAATCTGGGAGGCAAGCATGTTATTGAACCCGAGGATTTGGGATTGTTGGTGGAGTTCGCGAATGACATCGTGAAGACAATCAGACTGTGCCTGATGAATTGGATTTATACGCCCGTACTGAGGGACTGGGAGTGTCTGAACTACTTTAAGTCGTTGAAGAGATTGGCATAGGATAAGATCTTGGGATTGGTGCATTTTGACGACAAAGTGGGGACTAAAGGTCGGATTAGAGCTGCGCATGAGGCTACCAGAAGGAGGTTCAATGTGGCAACTGAGTGTGGAATGGGAAGAATGCTGAAGGAACCCCCTGACAGTATCTTAAGGATTTCGAAATACGTGACGGGGCCTACTGACTAGGCGGACAGGGGAGGCTCTTGTCTGTCAATCTGATGTCTATCACTTGCTGTTATATATTCTTTATTGTTAGAAATAGTAGGCTACGTAATGGAATTCTGTTTACTTCAGGACCCCCTGCTACGTAACCACAATGGCGCACTGGTCCCAAATACACTCTATCTGCCCCGGAAATATCCAAAGTATCCTTTCTCGCGATACCTATCGTCACAAACCCGTGACTCAGCATAAGAGGGTTGGGCTGGTTTGGGGTAGGTCCTGGCTATGACACTCGAACTGGGAGTTTTGCGACTCACTCGCCTGGCGCCAAATCTCCTATTTTGTCGTGTCCTAAGTATATAAGACCATGAGATATGGAAAACAGGGCTCGGGTCGGCTCATCCTTACTTAAACTATAGGAAATTCACGGGATCAATAGGTAAACACCTAGCCCAGTAGTATCTCATTAAAACAGGATGATCTATTCCCAAATGATCTATGAATCGGCCGAATGGAATCCCCGGAAATCACTGAGCTTCTACTTTTACCAATCCTCTTATATCTTAACTAACTAGTTAGCTTACTAAATACGCTAAATAGGAAGGGTCAGCCCATTCCTAACGGACCCCCCGTATAGACCCTATACTTAAAAGCGTTTAGTACGTAAAATAAGCCTGGACCCTAAAGTGGGACAAAGTATCTACCCCTCATTATTCTACGAGGTGAGCGCTACTTACTAATTACATTTTCACATATGACTATAATATGGGCAAAGACTTTCCATGGGCAATCCCATAGAAGAGGAGATCTTGGCGGAATGATGCCTTCATATCACGTCACAAATCCTGCATGAAACCACGCATATCGAGATATTGCCTGGCGTTGATCCATGTGGCTATGCAAGGCCGGGCTCAAAATTTGCGACTAAGAAGGGCTAAGCGGCAACGCTAAGTAACCTTGCCGTAGCTTGCTGTCGCTATTTCAACCCAACCCCGCCGTCATGTCCTTCTCACTATATAAACTGGCTCCCTGCCTTTCCATTACTCTACCCCTTGATCATACCGCCATACCATACCACACTAGACACCAGTGCCAGGGTAGTTCAAAAGATTGCAACTAGTTTGACTGGTGCAGGGCCTCATTAAGACTGTACAAGTCTTGGGAATTTAGAAAACTATCACCCCACAATGTCGTCCTCAATCCTCACTTCAAATGCCAGCCTCGTCAACATTGGCACCCATTCGCTCGCCCTCTACGCCCACGGCCCAGAACCCAGCAGCTCCAAAGGTCCTGTCGTCCTATTCGTATCAGGCGTAGCAAGCTCCAGCCTCAACTGGGCAGCTGTGGTGCGGCTACTTCCTCCCTCGATGCGAAGCTACACATATGACCGTTCCGGCTATCGCAACTCCGAGCCCTCGCCGCTCGAGCCCACAGCCGAGAATATCGCCCTGGAGCTTTCTCTTCTAATCAAAAACGCCCCCATCCCAAACCCTCTCATTATTGTGGGACATTCCTGGGCTGGTGTGCTTATCAACGAATTCATCGCCCTTACGGGCAATGGCCCACACATCGCTGGCCTGGTGCTCGTCGACGCGAACTACGAGACTATGCCCGAGGTGTTGAATGTAAATGATCCAATTCTTGGGGTCATTGCCGAGGGGGTCCACCCATACACTGGTAGGGGCATTGACACTGAGCATAAGTTGACGCAGGAAGAGTGGGATGCGTTTAACAGCGACCAATTTTCAGAGAAGTGTATGTTGACTGGGGAGAAGGAGGATGGTGAGCATTACCTACCAAGTTTTGAGACGTTGCGGAAGAAGGAGCTGGGTAAGAGGCAGCTACTGGTTGGAGATAAGCCGGTTTATGTCATTGGGGGTATGCGGAGTAGGGATTGGAGTGGGTTGTATAAGGCGGGCGTTGAGAAGGGGAATGGGACTGAGGAGCAGAGAAGCCATGTTAGAGAGTTGATTAGGACGGCTGATGAGAAGAGTGAGGGTCTTATGAAGGAATTTCTGAAGCTGTCTACGACGAGCAAGCTTGTTTTTGCCCGCCAGAGTGGACACTTTGTGCAGTTAACTCAGCCGGATATCGTTGTCGATGGGGTGAAATGGGTCTTAGATGACTTTCAATCATCTTCTTAAATGGAGAAACCAAATAGTGGACGCTTTATATTAAGACGCATCATTCATATCCAGGGAATAATTGTAAGATACTGGGCAGTGTGCTCCAGAAAGGCGACTTCCAAATTATGTCCCAAGTAACTTAGAAACGTTCTGATTAAGGGAGTAAACAGAGATAATATATAGAAATCATTATTAAAATGAACTAAGAAATAATAAGATAAGAGTAGTATATTTAGTTAAAATACAGCTGAATAGGTGTATATCTGATACTCTACATAATGGATATATAATAGTAGATACTACCATTGCATGACTAGCCGAGCCAAAGGCATTCGGTCGAAAATGAACAATTTGGTGCTAAACTACTTCGGGACCCCGATGCCATTTTTCCACGCTACACCAATAATTCTCATGATTGCGCCGTGATAAATATTTTATGATTGCGAAGTCCCCTGAAACGTTGTCGCACTGCTAGCACATATTTTATCCCAGTCACCTCTTTGGCTTTCTTCTTATGACCGAGGGCATCAAAGCAAGATGGCCACCTTAACTCCCGTCCCTGTGACACTGCCTAAAGACAAAGCACCGACTAAAAAGAACGTCAGGGACATTATCGGCACCTTTCTGACGAAAGAATGGCCGTCCGTAGATCCAGAGACCTTGACCGTGTCATACCATGCGTCGTTTGCCAACGCTCACTGTCCTGTAGAGCGACCGAGGCCCGCTGCGGGCACATTAACTGAGCCCTTGAAGGTGTTCATCAAATTTCATAATGACACCGGGGGGAGCCTCGAAATCTTCGAGCCCCTGGCACCAACAAAGCATGAGGAAGCACTTCTCTGCTACGAGTACGGTCGAACCGGACTAGGAGCCAAAGTCTATGGATTTTTCAAGACGCAGGATGGCACACTTGGAAGAATCGATGAGTTCCTGGATGCACGTAACCTGGAACCGGAAGACGTTGAGGATTCGGTCATCAGAGCGGATGTTGCTAAAGCACTGGCAGCGTTTCATGTCTTGAACATGTCACTGGAGAAAAAGGCAGTGGAATCCTACTATGAAGCTGTCATCACTGGACTCAGGAAGTACCACAAGATGGACAAGTTGAAGGCGCTTGGGAAAGAAGGAGGTGTCACTATCGACCAACTAGTTGACTACGACTTTGGGAGGCGGCTGAGAAATGTGACGGGCAAGCTGGAATCTATAGGAGGAAAGACAGGTTGGTGTATTCATGACATCCAATTCATGAACGTCATGGTGAAAACTGATCCGAAGGAAGGGGAGAGCAAGGTTACCCTGATTGACTTCGAGTTTGTCATGCAGAACTACCGAGCATTTGATATCGGTGGGCACTTCATGCAAAAGATGTTCAAATGGTTTGATGAGGAGAGCAGGATAGCAGCGTGCAGGAAGTACACAGAGGAGGAGAAGAGACACTTCTGTGGCGAATATGCCAGACAGTGGAACGAAGCAACAGGTGATTCAGATACCGGGGATCAGGTGTTCCTGGAATCGGAATACGGATACTTGTTGGCTATCACTTTTGACATCCATAATATGCTTTGCTTCATGGATGAACAAGATGACAAGGATCCATTGAACCTATTTGGGCTGAACAAGCTATTCGAGGAGTTTGTGGATCAGTATGCCAAGCTGAATTTAGAAGATGCATGAGAAAATGGAGGGCATGGGCTATCTTCTATTTTTCTGGTTACTTATGCCATTTCTTACATATTCTGTTTATTGCGGATCGAATCCCTGACTCGACAGATCCCGGGCCGTGTTGAGACGTTGATTATAGAGAACTAGAACCTTAGTAAACTTTGAAAGCACCAAGTATTTTCATGGATAGAGGTCTTAGATAGGTCTTAATCGCTTCATAATCAGGTATTCTATAGAAAACGGCAGATGGCCTGGCAAACATACGCACCTCCACGCGCTAACCGAAAGTCCCCCACAGTATAAGTCAAGCCGCAATCCCCGGACTGAGTCTACCCTCATAAACACTCCCAATGGGACTCCATCCATATTTGTCAGCCTCATGATTACAACAATGGTGTCCAAATGACCCAATGAGATACTGCATGCGGGATTGATGTTACCAGTTAACGCTGACCGACGGCTCACTGGCCCTTACACTGTAATCTGTGCATAATTACCGTACCATGAGGGGCTATTGTGTCCGGCAGATGATCGGCTATACGCGGTGTCTAACATTACGAGGAGTCACGCCACATGTCCTACGAAAATGAACCAATGCGGGTTCTATTTCGAATCCGAGTCCATGACATGACATAGTCACGATAGTATCAGCCAGCCACCCTCCACAGGATCAACGATTCACACTGCTGTTTATACTTACTAAATATCTCTTTCACTTCTATTACAACATTCCTGCCGAATCTATGTGCTGATCCATGGATCCAGAACTCCCCAACGCTTCCATTTGTTGAGTAGTAAACTACGTGGTGCGGTGATTATATTCATCAAATTCCTTGGTTGAGAAGTGTTGTACAATTGTTACAGCAGTCGAAAACCCATATAACAGCATCTTACAACATCAAATACTGGACCGCAGTACTGTATTTATTTCACTCAACAGTCTGCGTGTCATTGTCACACTGATGATCTTATCCCAATATTATACCCCAGGACTTCCTCCGGGCCAATTAATATTCATTATTTGCTCAGGCAATACTAGTGTTAGACACTGAGTTGACCTATCTGTCCCTAAACCTTGCCCTTTTAGTGTGGGATCGAATGTCAATGGAGCCGCCACCATCCATGTCAGCAATGTCTGAACTAAAGGACGTAATGCGAGACTTACTTCAACGAGGTCAATTCACTGACATGGAGATTCACTGTCAAGGGATTACTTTCCCAGTTCACCAGGCTATTGTTTGCACTCAGTCCAGCTATTTCCATAGCGCAATTTGTGATGGCTTCAAGGTATAATTGAAAGAAACGAAAACAAACGTTTCTAGGCACTTATTCTTTTCTAGGAATCCACGGAGAAAGCTATCCATCTTCAGGATGAGACCCCAGCAACCATGGAGCGTGTTCTATCCTTCCTCTATCTCAGGGAGTATAGTGAGGACGGGCACATAGTTCAATATCAGCCCCCTTCGGAGCTTGCCATGCCTGACAATGGGTCGGATTCAATCATTCCAGAAAACGAGGCAGAAAGTCCAAAGCCAATGAATCAAGCCGCTTTCAATAACATTGAAGTATTTATCGCGGCTGATAAATACGGAATTATTCCATTGAAGACTCTGGCTACCTCGAAGTTCTCTCAATGGGCGAATGCGAACTGCAGCTCTCCAAAGTTTCACGAAGTCGTCGAAAAGGTTATGACGTCAGTGCCGTCCCATGAATCAATTCTTCGAGAAGTCATTGCCGACGTTATATCGAGACATATCTTCGACCAGATCCAAGACCCTGAGATAGTTCACATCTTGGACTCTTTTGGATGTCTTGGGTCTCTGATTATTAGGAAATTGGTTAGCAACGAGCTAGTGAGACGCCCCAATGAAGATGACATTTTTCGGGGACTTGTTCAAAAGATAAACTCCGCTCGTCGCTGTCGGCATTGTTTGAAGGATTTTAATGTGAGGTTAATAGGCAGGGAGTATTTCTATGAAGGGTTCCGCTGTGCTGCTTGCAATACACGAAATTGAAGTGTCCGACTAAAAATTGTATTCTGGTTACAGTGCGGCTGCTGATTATGATTTCCTTTGCCCGAATATAGCTCGCTTTGAATATATGCTACTATCAGGTCTGTTGACAGCTTTAAGGTCATCACTGGAGTCTAGTGCGGTGCAGTAAATCGAGTCCAGGCAATAGCGATTTCTTACCGAAACCTCAGCGTTCTACATATAGGTCACTCACTTACTGAGTAACCACTAGGACTCTATAAAAATCCACTGTCCTATAATAGTTTAACATTACTCATCAAGTACGAAGCTTATGTCTAATATAGGATACTATAGTACTAGTAGTGATGAAAATACATCGAGAGAATGACGGTATCTGAAGTTCGCAGTAGGAGTGGTGGTGGCGGTGGTTGTTTATCTAAGCTTAAGGATCCCAGTGCCCTAATAATAGTAATATCTAGCTAGGGCCCATAGTGCCGATAGATGCAGGGTTTAAGAAGTGGTAAAGTACTGCGGGATTAAGATTGTAAAATGCTAAATATACTCAGAGCTAGAGTGTAACTTATAATAAATTTAATATTTATTTAAAATATATGTTTTCTACTGTTTAAAAGGGAAGTTAATAAGGGAGCTAGCCTCAATTCCGGACGCACTCCTGCGTACACTTTCAGTCACCAAATACTGCCACCTCAATTGGTTGGTTAGATTCTAGTGCAAATTTGGATACCTTATCTATCTCAACCGGGCTACGTTGTATGATACAGCATACATTGAAGGCCTATTCCGTCCAGGGTCAGTTAGGACTTAGTGATGTGACATTGGGTGAACGACTTTTAGAACCACCTCGAATGTATCCTGAACTCTCGATCTGGTTGAGTACTAAGTCACATTTTAGTTACCTGTGCTGAAATTGACTTGGTTCAACACCGTATTCTGCTCATCTACTCGAGGTATGCAGTGCATGTTCAGACCTTGCCAAGGCTCTCTTGGCTTTGCTGGCCTTGTGCAGTAACCATTCACCATTCATTCTAGTGCATTATTCTCCCTCTCTTCTTGTTTACTGTGCTCCAGCAATACCCCAGCTCCTCGGTCGGTATTGACTTTGACTTCAGACTGCCTACGAGGGTATCATCATCATTTACCTGAATTTTCAGTGAAGAATACAGCGTACCATGGAGATCTACGCCACCCTGCACTAGGTAACAGTCGTTTATTACTCTTGCGGCGAGCTACAGATATCTAAACAGATTTGGCTTGGGTTGTCATAATGAGTATGTTAACTGGTTTAATATTATGACTTTTAATATCTATAGAATCCAGGACCAGGTATTTCTGCGACTCAACCCAATGGCAGTGACAATGGACATCACATCATATTGTTTACCAGTAATAGGAGTGAAGTATGACGTTATACGACATGTAGACCAGTTTGCTGATGGCAATCAGTGGTGAGTCCGACAGGGGAGTTAGCCCTATAAGGTGACCAGACTAACCCTGGTTTATTAACTCCCAGTCTCAGTTATGATAAAAGATCATAAACGCAAGCAAGAAAAGGTTCGGATTGGCCGGTATGACGTCATCCGTCTTATTCTTAGATTGTTCGTCTGCATCTTTTATTGAGTCTGCGCTGGACCCGCGCCAAGTGGAGCGAATGATGCATCGAATGAGGTAATACCGAGAAAGCCACAGCCAAGTTGATTGTTTACTTGCTTTCCACTCTGTAGATACCTGAACGGGTATAGCTCCCATCTGTCCCAATTGACGACAAACTACCTGGAAGTAACTCAATTGTCTATAAATCCGAAGATTGCAGCGCGAAACGTTCAACTTACCATGAGCCCAACCCAGGTCAGCAACCCCGGCAGAATGCATCTCCTTCCCGTTGCCCTACTCTTCGGAGCCCTTGTCGCTCCCACCGCCAGCGAATCTTTCAATCCCCTCAACCATCTCGCTGGTATCGCTCCCTACCGCACTATTAACGACCCCCCAATAGAATCCGCACCTCCACAAGGCTGCAATGTAACAAAAGCGGCATACCTGATCCGGCACGCAGCCATCTATGCCAATGACTTTGACTACGAAACTTACCTGGAGCCCTTCGTGAAAAAGCTTGGCAACACCACCCAGGACTGGTCGAAAACGACAGACCTCAAGTTTCTGACGAATTGGACCGCCCCCGTTGATGAAGAGCACCTTGAAAAGGTCACCAAGGTCGGGTACAAGGAAGCGGTGAAGTTGGGCGTCAACTTCCGAACCCGCTATGCCAGTCTATCCCATCCGAACAAAGTCTGGTCATCTTCTGCAGATAGAACGACCAAGACAGCAGCCGGTTTTATCGAGGGGTACACACTCAACAAAACCGCGGGAATGGATCTTGTAGAAGTAAAAGAGAAGAAGGATACGGGTGTGGACTCCCTGACCCCTTACAAAAGCTGTCCTGCGTATAGTGGGAGCTACGGCAGTGATCAGTCTCAGGTACCCACCTACCCCCCTTGCTTCATTCATCCTCTCCATTTCTGCAGCTAACACAAATAAACTAGGAATGGGTAGAGAAGTACACCGCACCCATCAAGGAAAGGCTCAACGCGCAAGCCCCTAACTTCAACTTCACCACCTCCGACATAGTAAGCATGTTCGAGTTCTGCGGCTATGAAACCGTCATCCGGGGCGACTCGCCTTTTTGTGCCACCACTCTCTTTTCCTCAAATGACTGGCTCTCCTTCGAATATGGCGAGGATATCAGGTACTTCCATAATGTGGGGTACGGGAATCATGCCTCCCCAAGAATCGGGTTTCCGTGGGTGAATGCTAGCTTTAATGTCCTTTCTACCAACTCCAATCAGGACGTTTATGTCTCCTTCACGCACCGCGAACTCCCCCCAACCGTCATCACAGCCCTGGGTCTCTTCAACAACAGTGCTTTCTCGGGTGCAGATAATGTCAACAAGACTATGCCGACGGACAAACTCAATTACGGACGACAGTGGAAGAGCAGTGACATTCTGCCCTTTTTGACGAATATTGCCATAGAGAAAATGAGCTGCGATAGCTATGGATATGACGAGGGTGACTATTACCGGGTGCTGGTGAACTCGAGCCCCCAACCATTAGAAGATTGTCGCGGTGGACCGGGAGATAGTTGTAATGCGTCGAAGTTTAAGGATTTCGTGAAGGGTTTGGGGGAGAGATTTGGGGACTTCGTGGGAGCTTGTGGTGCGCCGAAGAACGAGAGTCAAGTGGTGACTATCTATAACTGATTAGGCAGTGTGAGCTGGTCTGGGTGATGGAAAATGGGAAGAGGTATATAATGACTAATGATTAATATATTTGGCTCTTTTCTTCTCGGAACATATGCAATTAAAGTAATCTTGCTTTTGTGAATACAGGTTCATACTATTCCCTCAAACGATTATCCATTGATCGAAGAATATAGTGTTAGAATCCATTAAGATATCTTTGCCAGTAGTCAATGTCCTTTCTGAGGTGATGCTCTTTATGTCTGAGAGACTACAATAACCTTCATGAGGAAACAAGGCATGGGACAAGCTCTCAGTGGTTATCAAGCGACTTGGGGAGGGACCTATGAATGATGTAACCTATATCTAACACGGGCCAGTACAGGATAATCAGCAGTGGACTGCAGGTATTTGTCCCTGCTGTCTACATAACACGAATATAAAGTACCCAGCAGTCAGGGCATTTAGAGCTCGACTTCATACAGGACACCAGTACATATATAGACTTAATACTTGTGGTTACTATACGTTGTAGTACTATACACCTTGCCAATGGGTATCTTAGTTGCACCAAGATAATACACGAAAGCCAGGCCTATGAGTTATTAGGTAGTAACTTATTGAACGCCTTGTATTATTAAGTTTGTTCCAAGCAAAACTAAAGCATTACTAATAGCAGACATGCTACCATTATTTTGAAGAAGATTAGAGGATCGACTAATGAGAAACAACCCACATATACATAGCAGTCATGGCACCGGCTTCCATCGGACGTTTCTAGCTTCAGGACTCCATCTAATCCATATACACCATCCTGTTAAGGCTGTCGAAGAGGGATGGACTTAGGTGATATAGCCGAGCATAGATCGCTGAAGCAGTCGTGCCTATCTGCCGTGTTGCGCATCATCGTGGGGAGGTTTGGCCCCCGTCCAAACCCAGATTGGTTGATTGAGTTGAGAATGAAAATTGAGAGACATTGTATTGTGAGTGCAGCATCGGATAGCTAGAGCGTGAGACAGGCCTCTTAACCGGCCAAGCTGAAAAGCACGCTCGCGGCGCTAAGCCTTCGGCTTTGCTCTCAGGTAAATAGCAAAGTGCCTGTAGGTGGCATAAATCATTAGCACATGACTCTTCATTCAAAAACCTGACGAGGAAGAGAGATGGAATCTATCTTACCCAACCGTCACCATACTCCTTCGAGATGATAGCAGTTTGCCCCTGTTTGAGCTCGATCTGCTTGGCTCTAACTGGCTTGAAACTCAATTCCACCGAGTATACCGCACCCTGCGAGTCGAGTGGTGTAATTGGGCGACGGGATTCTTCAGATCCTTCTGGCTCCTCAGGCACACCAGGTAGGGATGTTGGCGTGGCAGTCCGTGGTCTGATGCAGGTCTCAGCTTTCTGCGTAGTATAGGGCATCGATAAATCCCCGCCTCGGTGGTAGTCTGGGGCGACCATCTCCGTGGAAGTAGCAAATTCAGGGGGTTGTAGCTTCTCGATGTCGTGACTACTAGTCTCGTCTAGTGAACTGGTATCGTTCGCATCAAGGTGGTCTTCACATTGATTGCCTGACCTTTTGCGGATTCTTAGGAATGAAGGAGCGATGACACGGGTCGGTTTCCTGGCAAACTTGAACATGCTATATCCGCACAACGTGGCGAAGCTCCTCTTGAAGAACGACGGTCCTGTATCTTTGGTATAGTCTCCTTCTTCCAATGTGCTGTTGCGCTTCTTTGCCGCCTTTGCGGCTCGGTATCTTCTATACAGCCACCACAGGATAAAGCCTGCCATTACGGCCGTAACAGCCCCTAGACTAACAGGGACTGCAATCTTCGTAGCATCGTGCGTATTGGTCGTAGGAGAGTCAGAGGAATTGTTCGTAGCTGTCGGGCTACTTGTGATGCTAGAGCTTGACAACGGTGGCGACAAGTGCGTTGCAGTGCTCTCAGGGCGAGAGTATGTTGATGTAGGTTTGGTCGTTGAGCCAGGACCCCATTCACCAGAGTGATTGAGTTCGCCACCTGGAGTCCATTGTTGTGCTCCTTGACCATTCGTGCTTGAGTTCTCTGGGCGATAGAGCCCATCGTCTGGGGCAGCTACTCCTGCCTGAGAGAGGCCACCACTACCTGGTGCCGACTGTCCTCCCTTTCCATTTCCCGAAGTACCTTGTCCCCCGTAGCCAAGGCTTGCATTGGGCGTAGCTGTTTGTGCAGGTCGTGTTTTCGATGCCATTTGGGCTGCCTGCAGGCTGCTCGTCGTTGTACTGGGTTGCGGACGTGTTCCCTCGATGGAAGCCTGTCCTGCATTCGGAAGGGTATTACCTGGCGTCGTACCTTGCGACCATTGCCCTCCCGATGCTGCCCCTGCCGGCGCGCCCACGCCTGCTCCAGGTTGCCATACGCTACCATCCTGATACCATCCATTCGTCCCTTGACTTCCGGAAGAAGAGAGACCATTCTCGGTGGCCGACTTTTTCGTCTCTTGGCCCCACAAGGTCTTCCGGCCCGGGTGATATAACCCATCATCCAGTGTGGGTGATTGCGTTCCTCCATCCCATGGCGGACTCTGATTTGGGGAATAGAGACCAGCGTTTGGTTGTCTTTGTGTTAGACCGGGGCCCCATTGGCCAAGTTGGTTGGCATTACCACCTGCGTTGTCAAGCCCCTTGGGATATCTCTGGTTCCCCAAAAGGTTTCTCTCACACTCAATTCCAGCCATACATGCCTCACTAATGTCACTAGGCTGCTCTGACGGTGAGAAGGCGTCGTAGGACTGCATAGTGGCCGACGGTGTATCAATCCTTTGCCCTAGAGCTATCGTAGGACACCAATTGAAGCAGAATCGTTCTTCTGTATGGGTGTTGTAGATACAAAGGCTGAACGATTTGTATCACACGATGAACAGTGCTTACGCCAGATCTATGCAGCTGTCAATGAAACCCAACGCGATGGTAAACAGAACAGTAGGAGCATTCCACACGAGGAATGCGTCACCAGCGACTTCAAAAAATTTAATCAGCACCCAATATCAGCGCATAGGAGATTTCGCGACTCACAATTCCTGGTTTGCTCGACCAATGTGAATACTACCATCGCCCGTGCTTTGAGGTGGTTGTACAGGGGAATTAAATTAAACTGGAAAGTTCGTCGACGCGAGTGGTGCATAATTGAGCTCATTCTTTGAATTTCTAGTAATTTTATTGAAACTTATTTTGACTCTAACCTTCGTCCCCGCTTCCATAAGAGTTTGTTTTGACATATCCATAAAAAGTATGTCACACTGACAACCCAGGGTGAAGCCTTAATTGATTTTAGCACATTCCTCGGGGTCCAGTCAACAAATGCCCCAAAGCATTTGGAATCTAAAGGCTGTCCAACCCCCACCTGGCATAGACTATCGCTGTCCCAGTCCTGCGCGATTGCACGTCTCTAGTATGACACAGGTGGAAGAGCGTATACACTGCACTCATTCCACTGGGTTATTAAGTCTAACCAGGGAAGATTATACTAAGCGGGTGAACAAAGTATCTCTGTAATGGCACATCAAGATTGTTCATAACTCCTGGGAAATGGATTGTAAAACAATCTCAATCAAGGTAATGACAAGATAGCAAACGCGTAGAAATATTCTTAAAACCCACATTATTGCTTTGACACGAGAAATCTTGCCGGGTACAGACAAATGTTTTCTGAGATTCACTAAGCATTCCAATCTGTAAGGATATAAGGAACTGATTCCCGAATACTAGCTTCATGGAATGGCATCTGCCCCTGCATGCTTAGCCAACATTTCTTGGGCTTGACTGGCAGGCCCCACCACGGGAAATGACATAAGGTTTGGCTTTCATTACCTTAGCTTCATGAAGGGTGGGAATAAGAATGACATTAGTGCTTGAGGTTTTGAACCTCTCAGTTTATCTTTGGGATTTGTGCTTATCCCCATGCTGTCGCCATCATAGGGACTGGCTCTTGCCTTTTATTAGATATTCTTACATACCACTGAAATATGGCATACCAATACTATTGGTGTGCCTTCTTGACCCTTGGTAAATCCCTTGCTTCGATGTCGTAGCCCCTTCCAATAGCAGCTTTACCTGACATTGAATAGCAGAAGAAGGAAATAAAATGTCTTCGGCCAGCAGCCTTCAAAGTCTTAGTGTGAAGAAGGTATGTTAATAAATTCTAACATTATTACAGTAAAGTAAATGCTCATTATCTCTATATGTCAATGTGTCAATGTACATTATTCCCGCGCCGACCACTCACAACTGAGCGACGTTTTCGACCCACGGTAAATGGTCCTGGCGGTGAAGATCCTCCTCACCAGAGCTTGCGTTGAGACATCTTCTTAGGGATCGACACCAAAGCCTTGAGAAGTCTCGCATCATCCCCAGACTCAACGCCCCGCTTGAAATTCTTCGGCCACACATCCGAATACGTAAGGTTCGTGAAAAGAGGCACGTCGACCTCACAGATTGTCCCTGCCGCAGGCAATGTGCCATTGGAAAAGAAAGCCCGGACCACCTTGGCTGTACAAAGAGAGGGCACGGACAAGGTAGTATGCTGTTACCAGTCGATGGATTAGTTGTGTGCTTGAATAAAATGGGAGAAGGAAACACTTACCCCGTAGCCATTCTGCTCGAGCAAGACACTACCCTCCATGGTAGCGCTCAGGTTCTTTGCCGCCGCAAGCGGAGTAGAGGGGTCGTAGGTGTTGCTTAGCACCAACACAGGATGGGGTGTCTTGATATCGAAGTCGCCAGTGTACCGTTCCTTGGCGTACATCTTCTTATTCCATTGTGCGCATCTCATGTCGCCATTAGCACCGTCACTCGCGATTCTGCTCAGGGCTGCCCTGGCCTTGCTGTATGGTAGCACATCAGACATGCTGGCCGATTGTGCCCTGTCGGAACATCTGATACCGGTCCCTACTTCCTTGGAAGATGAAGTCAAAGACGCAGACAGCCCGTATGATTTGATGGTCGAGTATACCTCGGAACTACCCAGGACGGTTGCGTTACGGATCAGTACATTATAAATGAGTTCTGAAGTCAAGGGCCAGGAGCTGGGAGCATATAGCGCCTCATAGATGGTGGCTTTGATGTCGCTGTAAGTCACGATCCCTCCGATACTTGGAATTGGGATAGGATTGAACTTGAGCTCGTCAAGCATCACATAAATTGCGGCTTCCAGGTTGGCAGCACTGCTGTATATTTTCGCTAGAGGGCAAAGATCTGGTGCGTCAAAGCAGCCCGAGCAGAAGCCTTTCAAGACCGCGTCGACATCCACAACGGCTTGTGCGTTACTGTGTAGAAAGAGACAGGAAATGTCAGCTTTTTTCTTTTTTTGGTGGTGCTAACAGAATGGTGTAATCGCTCAACGTCCTGCTTCAGATCAAGAGAAGGCATCACTTACAATCCGCTCATGTACTCAGTTGGGTTATCAACACCATCAAGTGCCAGATAACCCATTCTTTCGGGGAACATGGCTGCCATCACAGCACCCACCGTAGTCCCATAGGAGATTCCTAGAGCATGGAAGTCAGGAAGTGTCCCGTGAATTCATGCGCGAATCGTGGCTCTTACCCCAGTAGTTCAGCAAAGCATCCTTGCCCCTGAGAGCATCAAGAACCTGGATCGTATCCCTCGCGGCAAAGCTAGTACCAATGAAACTTCCATTCTCGCCATTCTGAGCATAACATGCTTGTGCATAGTTTGTGCCCTGGGCCCATATTTCCGCCCGGGCTGTGTTAGACGCTCTGCCATCCTGTGGAGCCTGAAGCGATGCAAGCTCTCTGGATGAATCATTGCTATAGCACGAAAACGGCATGGTGTTTCCGACGCCCCTGGGAGAGATGATTAGAAGGGTTTATAGGCTCACGGGAGCTGGGGTCACAAACCGAGGGTTGAAGGATATAAGATCATTATGTCCTCCCAGTATTCTAAATAATCGATTCAGGTCAGTAATTGAATGGGGAAAAAGGGGTTACCTGGCGGCTTACGTTTGGAATTCTTCCCCATATAATCCAAGGCCCTCAAAAGAACTTACACCCGGACCACCAAAGTTGAAAAAGACAGGTTCTGCGGCTGGTTTCTTGGTTGCCGGCCACTTGGCAATATCGAGAGTCAAAGTCTTGTTGGATTCAGAGTCCGTGTAGTCCAATGGCACGTCGAGTGTTCCACAGATCATCGGCCCAGTGGCATTTGTTGGGTCACAGAGTCCTTTCCAATGAATCTTGCCTAATTCCGCTTGCGTGAGGGAGGCAAGCGAAACTATGGATAGCAGTCTGGCAGTGAACGATGAAGACTGCTTCATTTTCAAGTCACTAGTAGTATCTCAACAGCGATAGAGAGAAACCGTGGAGTGATTGTAGAGACAGGTACAGGTACTCAACCTGGGTGTTATATAGGTACTCGGGTACACAAGTCAGCATACTAGAATCAATTGAGGCACACAGCCCGTACCGATTCTCAAAATGGATCAATCCGCGAGGTAGGTTGTTGTTACTGGACAAGGCTGACTTGGCCCCCAATGTCTCGAGTATCCACATGGTCTCGTCTATCTATCTGTTCTGGCCCAAGGTGACAGCACACTCCATACTGCCCTACAGTCGGTAAGTGTGCCGTGCAGCGGCTGACGGTGGCTTAGAACTAAGATCGGCACGCCAACTGGAGCTAAGATAAAATGGCCCCGGAGTTGATAGGCCGAACATCTCAATTACCACATTTAGTTTAGCGTATGGAAACCCTCAGACAGCAGAAAATTTGCAAATAACTAACTAGTAAATATAAATGACCTAATCGAGATCGGCAACCGTGAACTCAGCTCTTAGTCTAGACGCCTTGTATACTCCATAGAATGGCCCCCACGATTGAGACTCGACAAGAGAGCATAACACATATCACCGGAGGTCCGGAGGAACTAGGCGAAGTCTGACCCAACAAATTTATATTTATCCCTCCGCAAAAAAGCGGCAATGCGTGCATAGGGATTTGGACTTGGCACCAAGTTAAGCATTGAATATCGATGCTAAATAACCTTCGATGACGTCCCCCGGATCCATTTTTATTTACCTGTATTCCTTATTTGTTATATTTTTATTTTTTATTTTTTATTTTTTATTTATATTGTAAAAAAAAAAAAAAAAAATTAGAATTTTTTTCTTTTACTGCCGGCAGGTCCATTTGCTTGGATCGTTTGAACTATTTCAAATTGTATAAATTACGGGTATCGCTTAAGATACTATGAACATATGTCTCTCCCTAATTCGATCACATATACTATTCATTACCATTCTATTTAGTTCTCAATTCCATGTCATTTATATGATACAAGTGGTAAATGGTTAGTTAGTATTTAATCATGAATGAGAATTCTGAATATCTATGCCATCCCTTCCGTCTACCGTGCTCATTGTAGCAGTGAAAGAGTAAATAAACAGAACAAAAGAGGATAAGAGGGTAAAGAAATTTGATGGATACCATATCTCAGAAGAAAAACATATTTGTTCTTTTTATATAATATCTATCTTCTGGCATCCTTATCCTTCAGCATAGCCTCTCAGTTACTCGGAACTCCCTACAATCTTATGGTTGATAGGGCTGTTTCGAGGGGAGCACTTTCATTGGAGGAGCATTCCCAAGTGAATATCTATGCAAAAGAGCCTACTCTTCCTACTGGCCTGTGCTCTATCAGAGCTCCTTTCGTCTAGGTAGACTCTTCCGAATTTGTTCCTTCAACCCAAACATCAGCAGTGGGTCCAGCGGAGGCCAATCATACTGCCGCCCTCGCAAAGCTAACGAAATCGGTTTTAGCCCCCCCCAGCTATATCCGATAAAATGGTATCACTTGGATCGAAATATAAGGGAGCAATGGGGCCTATTACGAATCATTCCACTAACCGAAGACAGGGTTTTGCATTGTGAAGCTATGGTTGGGTGTTACGTGTAGAGTCGCACACCCACTGAAGTCACCAAGGTTAGTCGACCAAAGCCATGGTCACCTGTGACCTGTCCACCACTATGGGCTCTCTTCAACTCAGGAAGTGTCAAGAAACTCGTCATGATTGGATCTCGTGGAGTATATATCCCGGGGAGGAACATAATGTTCACTGTGTGAACAAATCACTTGGAACGTTGATCGTGGTGGGAGCTTGTCTAGGTTAATCGTCCTTCAAATCCTAAGATTGCCTGCGCAGCAAAGAGAGAGAGAGTGTGTGTGTATGTGTGTGTGTGGGTGGGTGGGTGTGCTTGCAGTCCAGAAGCCTGTTTATGTTTCGCCCTTTGGTATGGTTATAGGTCAGAATGGCACCACGGAGTGAGTTGCAAGCAAGAGTATCCCGGAGTTGCGGCAACTGTCGGGCTGTCAAACGACGGGTATATCATCTTCCTTTTCCCTTTCGTAGCGGCATGGTCTGTTCTAACTCGCCTTGTCGCTGCACAGTGCGACCGGCAGCTTCCTCACTGTGGACAGTGCACTCGCACACGCGAACAATGTTCTGGGTACCGAGATGAATGGGATCTCGTCTTCCGGAACCAGACAGATGACACCATAAAACGGACCATGGAGAGAAGGGCTCCGAAAGAGGACCAGGCCGCTCTGCCTCCGAATTGCAACTCTCGCCCACTACCATCACCCGGCTTGGGGTCCAGCCTTGATGAATTAGGGGTCAATTATTTTCTCTACAACTTTATTACCGGCAGTCAATCCTCTTCGCGTGGATACCTTGACTATATTCCGGCTGTCTACACCGCCGATAGCCACCACCCATCAATGCTAGTAGCCAGTATGGCAGCGATCGGCCTCGTTACATTAGCCAATACAACCCGGCAGCCACAACTAGCCAAGCATGCGCGCGCTAAGTATTCAGAAGCGATCAATCAGGTAAACATAGCACTAACATCACCTACCGAATCTGTCAAAGATAGTACCTTAATGTCGGTGATCTCGTTAGGACTGTTCGAGTACGTCTCTGACTTCACATCCTGGGCTCGACATGTTCGGGGAGCTGCAGCACTGGTAGTTGCTCGGGGTAAGAGTCAATTTTCGACAAGCGCCGCCTTTCCTATTTTCAACCAAGTTCGCGCGGATATGGTGGCTGTCTGTATGTATAGCGGCCAACCGCTCCCGGAAGACATGTGTGAGCTGCAAGACGAAGCAAGTAGGCATATGGACACGACAAATGCGTTCTGGCGCCTTGGTGCAGTGGCCACCAAATGCACAAACCTTCTTTGGGGTGTCAGGAATAATAGACGGGAGTTTCCCTGGTCTAGTTTACTGGAACAGGCTACTGTCCTTCAGAATGAGTTGCAGTATATCTTTGGGATCCTTTCCATGGAATCAGGCTATATAACGTCCCAAAAGCCTGGTGGGGACGCAGCTATATTTTACAATGAGCGATTTGACGTCTACAGGAACTCTTGGGCTATTAGAGTCTGGAACAACACACGGATCCTTCAAATCATAGTCTGCGATTCTATACGCAATATTGTGAACCAAGTTCTTGTTACAGACCTCGCACCCATTATTCGGACACCTATGGAGCTAAGACTTCTAGACTCACAAGAAATATTGTCAAAGCTTGGCAAAGATATAATAGCCACCGTCCCACAGGCATTGGGGGTAATATCTTCGGCATCTGAGACAGACCACACTATCGACGTTTCGTCTGATATCAACGGATCGGCCGGATATATGATGACCTGGTCTCTCTACACGGCAGGGAAGTTATCAGTCATGGCAAGTGAACCCCGGCAGTGGATCATTCAACGTCTTCAGGATTTTGGCCACAACGCAGGAATCACAATGGCCCTGCAACTTGTGGAGGATATAATTAAGATAGATCAAGGCGCTGACCGAGAATCCCCGATCCTGATCTCGGGTCCTTTTAAACGATGAATTTAACGATTATTAATATTGACATTGAACGTCGTGTCTTTTTCATGTAGACAGTGACGTAAGCAAAGTCGAAATAGGTACCAATCAACGCTTCATCCTCCTACCGAGTATTTTATGAGAAAAGAAAGGCTCGAGGTGTTTCCCTACCTAGGATATTCGAGTGAAAGAGTTAATTTAAGCGCAGGCATTAAGCAATATATCGGCCAAGATAATGTGGTGGTGTCGTTGCACCTGCGGCGCTGACCGGAATTAGTCCAGCCATTAGATTAAATTCAATCCATGGGTAAAGTTAAAAAAAACCACCATCGGCATTCTACTCGCTTCAACCTCCCAAATTCCACCATTTGCCCTCATGTTACTGCGGCTCTACCAAAAACTACGAGGTCGGGATTATTCCGACCCTTGTCTTTATATCTTTCCGTTTTCGCTTCCTTCGATTATGGTCCAGTTTACGATCGCATTGGCACTGCGAAACAAATCACAATCATCCCGAGAATTAGCTAAAATTAAATATCGCCTAGTAAATCTACATCGGAATGAAAATTTAGGCGAGGATTATCTTTTGCGCGTAAATCCGAGAGGGAAGGTATGGTCGCAGAGCATATATCCAATTACCCATGTAGATTAGACGCGAGCCAAGGTGACTACATAAGAGCATCGTACTGATTGATTGTGTTTACATTGCAGGTTCCAGCTTTAACTGCCAAGTCAATTTCAGCTCCGCTCACAGACAGCCTGTCCATCTCATATTGGGTCTGTGAGCAACACCCAAGCCTGATCCCGGAGACCCATCGGACGACCATTCAACGCCTACTATCCCAGCTTCACCGTATTCAAGCCGACAATAATCCAACCCCGGCAGTAGATGACCTCCTGGCTCGTAATGACATCTCTCCTGAGCATCGTCGCGCTCTGGAGTATAAACGAGAATGGTGAGCTTGACCCGATTCGTTTGCACTTGCACATTCCATGGTAACAGTAAGAACTGTTCAGCGACAGAAAGCAAATAGATCCCGACTTAGATAATGAATACGAAGGTATGACGGATCAAGCGAGACACCTGTTGTCTGAGGTTGTGGTTGAATACGAAAAGGTCAACCCTCGGGGGGTGTGGATATTTGGGAACAAAACAGGCCCAACAGTGCTGGATGCACATATTGTAGCCTTTATAGCGAGACTCATTGACATCCACCTCGAAGATTTGGTCCCTCCCCAGTTGCAAACATACGCAAAGGCGGTCATGGAATTACCGGAATGGGGGACAGTCATGCAAGGGATGCCAACAGTCTGGAATCCTTCCTTGGGCCCGATAGATCAACTATAGACAAATCATTCGAAATGTACTCGTCGTGAATGTCCAATTATCGCATCTCCCTCTTCGGTCGAGATACCATATCAAAGGTGGAAACAACCCAAATCAAGCCGAAATTCCTGGGCAGCATTTCACTGGCGCCAGAAAGTTTAGGGTAGCTGTTCTCGATAATCAAGCCAAGGGTATTCCTTCGAGATTCTGATAATAGCGTCCATCCAAGCCGGCTTGTGCCCTAGCTTCTGCGTTGAAAGGCTCCTTAATGTAGCCCCGGAAGTACTTCCGTACATTGTTGCGGAAAACGTGCACTGGATCGGTTCCCTCCTCTTGACAGATCCATGTCAACCATCTGTGGCCGGTCGTAACGTGTGTGATCTCATCGTTATGAATAATCTCTAAGCTCTGGACACTCTCGGTATCACCCGCCCTGCGGAACTTGTCGATAGTCATTGGGTTGACATCAAGGCCTCGGGCTTCGTGTACAAGTGCAATGATGCTGATCCGTGCCCGGAGATCATGAGCTGTGATAGTAGCCGATTCCCAGAGACCGTGATGAACAGGGAGCGCGCCAAAGTGAGAACCCATTTCTTCTATCCGCGCGCGCAGTAGCGAGAAGTGTTTGGCTTCGTCGTTAGCTACCTTGAGCCAGTCATGAAAGAATGCTCGTGGCAGTTCCCGCGAGCCGTCTGGTGAATCTGGGTTCGTCTGGAACGTGGCGAACCGTATGCATATGTCAACTGCAAGGTCGATGGCCCAGAGCTCAATATTGGCCAACGCATGCAGCATGGCAATTCGGCTTTTCAATGTGCCACCTTTTCCGGCCTTTGGGATGGCCCAGGGTTGGACTTCAGACAATCCTTCCCGTGGAGGTTGAGCGGGAGGCAAAACAGTTCCTCTTCCAAGAGGCATAGGAGACGACGACGCTTCCTTCTCGGTCAAGATAGAGAACAAATGATGAGTCAGTTCGATCTTATGTTCCGGGTTCGCCGTATTCAGAATATGAGCGCACCAATCACACACTGTGGCATTTTCATCCAGGTATTTTGCTGGACCCGACTCAATCTGATGAGATGGCGAAACTTCCTGTTGTGGGCTGGTGGTCTTGTTCTTCGAGCCTCGGTGCTCCTTCAACTTGAACTTTTCACTGACAGGTTCGAGCTTAACTAGCGACACCTCAGAACCGTCCTCTGGATTGTACAACAAGGCCACATGTTCGCCCCGGACATCGACCGGGAAGGTGCAAGCCTTTATCCCAACACTCGACTCGCCCGTCTCTACATTAAAATCATACGCATGCCATGGGCACGAGGCAACGTATGCGGAATCCTCAATATCGATCTGAGAGTCCTGCATAGGACCGCCTGCATGCGGGCATTCTGCTTCCATGGCGTAATAAGCCCAACCATCATCGGTTTCATTGACCGCGCGATCTACCTTCTTTGACGGCTCAATTACGGGGAGGCGAAACAATACCAGGCGCTTTTTGTCGGAGAGATGGATGACATATCGCGCCTGGGTAAAGTCTGAAAGTTGGCCAAGCCGAACTACCACCATGTTGCATATGCAGAGATAGAGATAGATCGTTATAAAATGCGTATACAAAATCGTATGTGGTCTGATTCATGTGTGCCCAATGTGGGGTCACGTGGGGTCGTGTGAATTTTTGTCAAACCATCCCGTATCAGGCAAGACAATCTTTTTGTGTAAATCACTAGATTGTTACACTGTTAAATGCAAAATTGAGTAAAATTTTCAACAACATCCGATGTGGTGTAATGGCTAACATCGCTGTCTCTCACACAGCAGCTCGGGGTTCGATTCCCCGCATCGGAAGCATTTCTTTTGCCAATGTATTTTTTCTCGACGCCACTTTTTGGTGCTGAATATTTCCCATGAGAGCCAATGTCTGAGTTAACTATGATTAAGCATTTTTGCACTGCTTATTGAAGCTTTCGGTATGTGGACACGGTTAAAAGTGTACTGTTAAAAGTGGGTTGGTTATGTTTGGTGGTTGAGATATATATAAACTTCAACAACCACCTCTATCGGTCCCGCTCTTGAACCTCATCTCCCCCTATCCTCAACATCCCCATCGTTTAGTGCCGCTAGACTTATAAATGTCAAGTGCAATTATGCATCCTGTTGACGCGCAGGTATTTGGGAGATTTCGATTGGACTCTGCCCCTAGAAGACGGGCACAACCACAGCTTTCACCGACCGGCCGACCCACTAAGCAGTCTCGGAAGACACATAACAAATCTCGCAATGGTTGCTCAACATGCAAACGGAACCGAGTCAAGTGTGATGAGGCTCGACCACTTTGTGGTAGATGCTCCAAACGTCAAAGCATCTGTGTATATGAGGAGAAGCTGTCTCCTGAACGTAGAGGCGAGGTCGGTCTGCAAGAAATTGTTCTTTGTGACCCGTCGTTAGGGAACCGGGGAGAACACGAACGTCTAGAATGGCGCATTGAGCCTGGCCTTACATACTCACTCATCAACAACATTCTGAATCATGGCTCACCACACTCAAGAGGAACCAATATCCCCGCCACCGCCATGACACCAAGTACACACCTGACACAACACTTGGCGCAATGCATCGACACATCCTTCCAGTCTTATCCAGGATGTCGATTGTTCCATCGATTTGTTTTGCCCAACTGTGCAGCTACCCCGGCGCTTATGCATGGTCTCCTTGCGCTATCTGCTCGACAACTGCAACACCTTCAGCCGTCGTGCCGGCTTCATGAACGAGCCTACCTTTTCCATACACAGGTCGCTACAAGATTACTAAACGAAGAACTCGCACAAGCGACAATAGCAGCCAAAAAGCTGGATTTTATATTTGCCACATGCTTGCTAATCAATATGATATCTTTCGCGGCAAATGAGACTATCCCTTCGAACTCCTGGTTGTTCATGTCCGATAGCACATCCATCGATAACGCTCTTAACTGGTTCATGGTACAGCAAGGAATGGGCTACTTGTCCAAAATTCTCAATTGCAATCCTAACGGTAGTGTCTGGAACACAGAGCTCGATGCTGACACATCGTGCAACCCACTTTTCGGCATCAGCGATGACCTTCCGTCTGATTCAGACTTGGCGCTGATACCCCAAACACTAGCCGAAATCTGTTGCATCACTGCAGGCAGTACCCCTGGCGATAACCCGTACTATACACCTCTCGTGTTACTTTCCCGCGCCTTCCGGATCAAGAGCTTGGGGCTCGGCAACCTTAACAGCTATTTATCATTTGGCCCACATGTACCGCAGTCTTACCGCTTGTTGCTTCGTCAGAAAGACGAGAGGGCGCTACTGCTTTTTATGCTATGGCTGATGCTATTCGAGGAAGAAACATGTTGGTGGATTAAACCACGCACAGGGAATGAGTACGCAGCCGTGTCGTGGCTGCTTGGCCAGAGTGAAGACCACAGAATCAGAGAGATCGTTCGAGACCCAACGACTTTTGTCCGATCGAATGATTTTGTGTAGTTGGCTGGGTATGTCATAGCGTTTCAGTTTACGTTGTTCGTGCAATCAATTCTTTCGTCATGAGTATGGCAGATGACTATTCGTAGCCACGTCCTCAGATAGTGATGAGGGATTTTTCATTTCACCAAGGAATTCTAACGCAAGAACCACAGTTGACACGGGGAACCTTGAGTGAGCCTATCTATCCATGGCCAGTTCGAAGTGACGAGACACTATGTCCCAAATAGGAAATTTTCGTATCACGATGTGGGGCCGTGAGGATCCAACCCTCGAGACGATCAATCTTATTGGAGAGCGAACCCATCCCGCCTCATATACTGTGGCCGCGGGCACCGAACAATGTCCCTAGGGAAAGGACATAGAGCCATGGAAAATAGGACAGAAAAAGCTATATAAAGGCCGAAAATTTCACTGCTGAAGATGCATCCATCGACTAACAACCCACTTTCTCTGAATGTCTTATTTATTATACGCTTTCGATAGCAAACCAGTTCACAATATGGTCAACGTCGCGATTGCTGGTGGTACTGGTGATGTAGGGAGAACCATTCTGGAGGTATTGCAACAATCTACCAAACACCAGGCATTTGTTCTATCTCGAAAGGTATGGGTACCCCGTTGTAACAACCAACCAAGAAGCTGACACAAGATAGTCATCGACAGGAATCCCAAACACTCTCGTGGCTGAATACAACGATATCGATCAACTCGCCTCCCTGCTTGAGGACAATGAGATCCATACAGTCATCTGCGCTCTATCCGTTGAAGGGGCCTCCCTTGAATCGGCGCAGCTGAACCTGATCAAGGCCGCTGCACGGTCCCAGGCTACAAAACGCTTTATCGCAAATGGATTTGCTATCCCCTACCCCAAGGAGTTCGTTGTCCAACTTCTTCTCTCCCATCACAAGGCTAACTCGTAATAGAGCTCTGGAGGTTTTGCCCCAGCTCAAGGTCTATTTCGACGGAATAGAAGAGCTTCGTAAGTCAGGACTGGAGTGGACTATATTCCAGATCGGGATGTTCATGGACTACTACGCGACCCCGGCCCTGAAGTCATACCTGAAGCCACATATCATTGCATTCGATCTCGAAAATAAGGTTGCCGCTATCCCAGGAGATGGTAACGTCCCCCTCACTTTAACCTATTCGTTTGATATGGCCAGATTCCTGGTTGCATCATTGGACCTGGAGCACTGGGACGAGGAGAGCCGTGTCGTTGGGGACGAGATAACTTGGAATGAGTTTCTTACTCTAGCTGAGGAGGCTCGTGGTGAGTATTCATTTACTGAATCGAATTGCCGTCTGCCAGAATGGCCTTGCTGATTGAAAATTAGGATCCAAATTCGAGGTTCATTACGATGACATCGAGAAATTGAAGAGGTTCGAGATTACCGAGCTGCCGGCCCAAAAGGCTTTCTACGATCGGTTCCCAAAGGCGGCCTTCCAGTGGTTCACGTCGATTTTCGAACGGTTTACTGCTGAGGGCAGCTCTCACATTCCCAAGGCTGGTAGCTTGAATGAACGTTTCCCCGACATCAAGACTCTTTCGGTTAAGGAGATGCTCAATACTTACTGGAAAAGTGGATGAGCTAGCCATGTATTTTACTCGATGCTATTGGGTGGTGTGATGTTATGCGTGGTACTTCGGATGGGTACGTAGTTCAAGTTATAATCATACTCTCCAGAATACATGATATAAGGCTAGGGAAATGGATTGATGCTGAGCTTTTGGAGGTGTCGACTGAGATGTAGGATGGTTAAGAAGCTAATTGAAACAGTCAGAGTAACCAGGGCACAAAGAACAACTAAACAGCGCATCTCCTGCGAGAATCCGGCGGCTATACTAGGACTGGATAATAGGTATTAAGAGTACCTGCGGGAGGATCTACATAGCGCTGCAGGTGTAACATGACTCGTCATAAATTATTTGGCAGAGGCGGTCAAAGAGGAGCACTCCAAACACAATAAAGCAAATCCCTCCCCCGCTCTCCAGCCCAAACTCAACTCTCCTCCCGTCACTATCCAGAATACTCAGGACCTGCCTATCACCCGTTACCATGTCTGACGCTGCTGCTGCTTGCAATGTCTGTGCGAAGGAGTCGTCGAACGACATTATTCTTAAAAGATGCGCTACATGTAAGACCCAATGGTACTGCTCGCATGAGTGCCAGAAGGCCGATTGGAAGACACATAAAAAGACTTGTGGCAAGAATGCCAGCGGCATATTCGCCAATACAACCTGGACCGGCCGTACTCGTCCCCAGAACCTCGAGGCCTTTATCGAGAGGCCGTTCCACCAGTTGCACAGCAAGAGCTGGCTCCACAATCGCCCGGAGAAGGATGTCTACAAGCTCCTTATCGATACCTATCGAATGAAGACAGAGGACCAATACACCATCGAAGGTGAAGTCGATGAGGACTCTATCTATTCCGGTCAACCTGACAGTCGCTATGGGTTTCGTCGTTTTCTACGCCTAGTGGAGCAGAAACCCGACTTGCTTCCCTCATGGTGGTCTCCCGAGAAAGCCAACGCGTGCGTGGCCTATGGGCTGAACAAAGACAATTGGAGCTCGCTCGACTGTTGCGCCGAGAAGGGGGACTTTATCGAACGCTACGGGGATTCCACCTTTCCAATGCAAATGAGAATGTTCGGGGAGCAGATTTGTGGTGAATAATCGCGGTTGAGCTGAGTAGGTTTCATCTACACCAAGAGGTTATCGGGCGGTCTATTAGGATGGATGAATTTCCCTATTCTATTCCTTATATGTAATCAGTGCGACACACTCTCCGGCTGGTTCTGAACTGCAAAGGAGACCAGGATTTATGTACGAGGAGCCGGGATTGGGGAGCTCTGCAGGAGGTACGGGCCAATTCTATCCAATATCCTCTTCCTTCGATTGAACTTGCAATTATTGTCTAACATTGACTCTGGTGTACTACAACCCTCGATTACTTAAGGTGGCTTGGGGCGCTGAACAACCAACTGCTCTTTACAGCGAGTTACGATATGCATGGCTGGCAAGTTTATCGCACAGTAACTTGACAATCGCTTTCCGGCCCTTCGCATTGGCGATTGCCATTGGTGTATGGCCATTCCAATTACGAATATTGGCCTCCGCACCATGTTGGAGAAGCAGCTGGACAATGGCGAAATGCCCCTCCCGAGCAGCTAGGAACAGCGCTGTCTCAGACTGCCTATTCCGAGCCTCGATGTCCGCCCCAGACTCTAGCAGTACTCCGCTAATGCCCTCGTGCCCACCAGAAGCGGCACATAAGAGTGGTGTCCGACCATCTTGATCCCGCGCATCAACGATGGCACCTTTCTCAAGCAGCACCCCGACTATTCCTTCATCTCCTCCCCTAACGGCAGCCAATAACGGTGTGTCACCTTTCGGATCTCGCACTTCAATATCTGCCCTATTCTCTAGTAATACTCTAACTGTTTCTTTATCCCCTTGCCCAACGGCAACTAACAATAGTGTCCTACATTTTGGATCCTGTGCCTCGGTATTTGCGCCTTTTTCAAGCAGTAT